GCTTATCGAAATATACAGAATATATTATCTGTATGTGAGTATCATGCTTAATTTCTGTATTTGCATTGACATGAACTGGTGCAGCATCATGCAAACAAACTATTTAAAAATGTGTATCACCAATATTAACTGGATAATAGAACCAATTTTCTGATATGAGTCATAGTTTAGCCATAAATCTATTTTTTCCTTTCATACAGCAATACGTTCACGGTATTCCCAACACATATGCGTGCTCAACGTTTGTATGTGTACACAGTTTATCGAACCATTTCGTCATAATCGCAAATAACTCCATAGAGTAATAATTTGTAGACGACTGTTGGGATTTTGCGCATTGTAATACCATGCACGAAATGATCAATTAATCAATCAATCACCTGATATTCCAATGGAATTAACGGAAAGATTACGCTTTTTGACAACGATTTTAGTCATCGCATCGTCTGGAATCATAGTGTCGTATCCAGCAATCACAGCCAAATTTATCTCGGATGTGCTTTCACAGAACATGAGGATTTCTCCGGAACACTTGAGTTATGCTACTTGCAGTTTTCGCTCTCACTTGAGATAGGGTGTCTCGGAGCTCAACTGTTTTATATTTGTACATTACCTACGTGAGGGAAACAAAAAAGTACATCATAAAATCATTGATTATTATCAAATAATTGCGGGTTAAAGATGTCAACAAAAACATAGAAGAAGAGCAAACGTTGTGTATTTTAGCCTCGACTTCCTGTTCAGAAATATCCAATTTTCTGGTTATTTCGTCCATAGTTGATTTTCTCAGATCTTTATTCTTATAACTTTCTGACGAGCAGACGCACAAATTGGGGTAAGATTCATCCAACTCTATTAAAACTCTACTGTCGTGTCTCTAATGCATATAAAAATTTTTATTTCACATAGAAAAATATCATCAAGAAATCTCATTGTGGATCTGCACCTTAATAAAATATAGAAGCACCCTGACATAGCCGATGCCACTCCAGAGCTTTGCCATATACAGTATATTCAGATAAGAGATAGACCGGACATAAACAAGACCACGTGATCATCGAACGCTGTAACATTCGGCAGGGACGTATTAAGAGTCACGCAGTACATATTTTAGATAGTAGATGCTGCTTTGCGTAACTTTGTAGTAAATTAGCACAATTCGATGTGTATACGATTGGTGATGGATATAGGATCATCTGGGGGTGAGGTAAGAAATATATAATGATGTAAATATACATAAGGGTTTCAAAATTTTCGCTTCGATTTCCAGCTTCGGATGCCGCCTGATGTTTGGTGAAATACAGTCGAATATAATCTCAAAATCGTATATCTCTTAAAATTGCTTTTAGAATATTGATTAGTATATTTTTTGATTTCTAGGTAAATATGTAACCAAATTAAAACGTTCACAACGTAAAAAAATGTGCATGGTTGAACATTGTCAGAAAGTAGATTCTTGAATAGGTTTTGCCAAAATGGGTTCAAAAATGTCAATAATTAATTAAAAAATACAGTAGCTTTATAATTACTTATAACTTACCGAATTTGATGAACGACATCTTTTATTGGAAAGATGAGCTTGATGAGCTTTCATCATCGCTACTGCCCGAAGTACCAACGTCAATAATGAATGGCTCGACTTGTTCCTCTAAAATATTGTCCAGTTCCCACATTCTCTTTTCAACTTTGTCTTTCACGTGCTTAATACAGTTTTCCCATTTTTGCGCTGTTATTAATTCTAGTGCTTCTTTGAAAAGTCCTTTGAGGTCACAAAATTTAAAAGTTGTATTGTGCTTAGCTATATAATTTTTAACCTCTGCCCATATGAGCTCAATGGGATTGAGCTCGCAATGGTATGGAGGTAAACGCAGCACAGTTTTATTTTGACTTGCTGCCATTTCGTCAATGGCGTATTTTTGATATTCCGCCTTGTGATCCTTGACAATTCTTAATAATTGTACTTTCAGCATTGCTTCTTCAAAGTTGATATTTTTCGAGCGGAGCCAATTTTGAACATCAACTTTCCTTGAAGCCTCTGTTGGGACCTTCTCCATTCTTCGAGAATGATAAGGCGCATTATCCAACACAATTACTGCGTTTTCCTCTAAGTTCGGTAAAATTTTTGAAAACCACTGTTCAAACGATTCGCCATTCATTTCCTCGTGGTAATCTCCAGTTTTCTTAGACTCAAAGCACCACAGACCGTCAACAAGAAATCCATCCTCACTGCCAATATGGCAGATAATGAGCCTTTTCCCTTTACCTGGAAATCGAAGTACTAACTGGTGTAGATTTATTTCAATAAGCGAACCTTTTTTAAATGTTTTCATCACATTCAGCGAAAAAACATTGAGACATGAGTATCAGATTGCTATAATTGGGACTATTTAGTCATATTGAAAGAAAGAATATTGAACGGTCGTATGATTACTCAGCGCTTCACAATTTAATTTAAAGTTATAAACCTTTAAAAAATGAATGATCAGGAACCTGAAATACGCGCAAATATTAATATTAACAAATTATAACTTTATAAAGCTTAAAGTATGAATTAAAATGATTAGAAATATTAGGAACGGTACACAATATAAAACTTAGTAACTTTTTTTAAGTTTATAATATTCGACATATTTTAAGATTATATCAAAAAATTATTGAAATATCGAAAACACATAAAAACATGGCTTAAAAAAGTTCTAACAAATGAAAATGATAATAAAACATCCACGCATTTTATCGAAAGTTATAAAAGTTTTGTTACTTGTAATATGTTTTATCTGCTCCCTGGAATTAATGTTTAGAACCTTGTTCCCAAGGTTTGAAAAACATCCGATTGTTGTCTATTACTCGTATTTACCTGCTGGATTTATTAATCCGGTGGACAGTCCATCTAGAAAGGCCCTCCTGGATGAAGTTACAGAATCATCAACCCATACTTTACTTGTAGTGTGTCCTGCGCTTACCCACGTTTCATCAAGGTAATAAATCTTCCTGTTTTGATTTCTATATTTTCCAATTTTTGTTAAATAATCCCTCCTCCATAGCACAATTTCTTCTCTATCAGTAGTAAACTATTACGACCCCGTTTTTTCCATTTGAAATTTAAATGCTTCAGTAACGCATGGAAAGTTGATCGTTTGAAATTTGGCAACGTTGTATCTCCATTTACCTCCTGCAGTACTTTATCTATAGTAGGTATTTCATTCCTAAAGAAGAATTCATGCACTTTCCTCCTAATCGCATGCTTATCAGCTTCATCCAATGATTTAACAATACTTTTGCGATGTTTACTGGTCATTGGCTCAGAAAAGGTGTGATTTTTTTTGTATTGTATTGACACATTAAACACTGATGCGCGACACACCCCAACTTTGTGAGAAACCTTCACAACAATTTCTTTGATGGTTGATGCCTCGTTCTCCTCGCGCTCGATCTTATATATACGTATATTCAAAATGACCTCTTTCATTTCTGCACTCAGGTGTCTTTTTTTAGAGCGTTTCCTAGGTGGACTACAGGAGTTTACAACTTCATCGGCAGTATCTGTACTACTGGGCATTTTGCGCAAGCAGTTGATAACAACAACAATCAATAACAAGGTATAACAATAACAACGACAAACTCAACAACTTAATAAGATAACAAACGAAAACGTCCAAAGAAATATCAAATTGCAATGATGCACACGACATACGTAACACGTCTGAACCTGAATGTGACTCTGCCTTGATACGACTACTCTGCCGCTCGGCATAGGCATTAATTGCGAATTGACCAATGAGGGCTCCTGTTTTACGTCGAGACGGCGGCGTTAGCGTGAAAATCACCCGAACCTTTTGTTTATATCCGGTCTATCTCTTATCTGAATATACGTTAGTTTAGTAGGATTTATAGGCCAAGAAATGTGTAAACAAATCCTACAATTTGGTCCACAGTAATTTCTTTAATTGGTTCGTTAGATTATTGCTTCTTAATGATAACTTCATATTGGCGTCTTAATAGGAGCATTTGCCGAAATAACGATAAACACGATTGATCGAAAACCATTAATCCTATGTAAAATCAATTTTGTAGAAAATTATAGTCTCCATTTACTCCGCCTCCACAAAAATGTATTGTGTGGTCAACAGGTTGCCAAAAATTAAAGAGTAAAGGTATAATTAATGATATGTTTGCTTATAATCGCTGAAAATTTTTTATATCTTTTTCGACACATTGATGGTTCTTGAAGTATAAAGGTTCATTCTATATGAACACCATTTTAAGGTGAATCAATTTTTAATTACCACATGCAAGTATGGAAAATCTAATAGTGTTCGATAATTTGTGATACATTATGAAAATCAAGTCACTCACTCCCATCAGACTGCCTATTGGCGATGCTGTCACTGAGTAATTTCAGTATCCATTGCAGCGATTTTAGTGAAAGGTGATATGTAGTAGAAATGGTCAACAGACTGATGGTAATGAGTTGCATTTTCATGACGAAGACATCATAAAATATCAAAAAATACCACACTCTCCATACTTAGCGTCCCAAAAAAATGGATTCACTCTAAGATGGTATTATTCGTCCTAGAAATGACTTACGGAATTATCTCCAGGTGAAAACATTTTTAATCTGTACAAAACAGGATAGTAGTTTTTATTCGGTTAGGCTGTTGGTGTTGACCAGTTTAAGCGAAAATATTACCTGTTGTTAACCTGTTGACCATCCGACAAATTTTCATAGAAGCAAAAAAATTTAATCCCCTACAAAATCGTTTCTATTTTTTCATAGGATCGATGGTTTTCGAGATTTTCGATCAAGCGTGTTTTTCAAAATGGCAGCAAATGCTTCAGCTCTATCATTAAGCCAATCTGAACTTAGGAAACAAGTGATATCACCAAAAAAAGTTGCTGTGACCAGAATTTTATGAGAAAATTTCCTATTTTCTTGTCTACTACGACAGCTGGCAACGCTACATCGCTATGGACTTCCCGGTGAGGGAGAGCATTTATTAATCCTTGGTTGGGATAAGGAATGACTAGACCACTTTATTCGCTAAATAATTATACAATGCCAACTAAAGCTTCTGCATCATATATATGCTTGTTCGTAAATAATCTTCCTCTTAACGCAGATGGCAAGGGCTGCACCAATCATCTGAAAACAGGAAATGATCAGATTAACAGATAGATCAAGTAGCAAATTCAAGCTTAGATTTAGATGTTTGCATAATGTTTTATCGGTAGGTGGTTGATTCATTCCCAGTGGAAAGGACAACTTCCTAAACAGCACCGCAAACACTCTTAGGTATTTTTGATTTCTGTTAATGTATTCCCCAAGAACATGCCCAAGCCCAAGCTGTATTTGGACGTTCGTATACAATTTTTACCGTCACAACGATATTGCCAACTAACGACAGTAACTACCTTAGAATTAATAAAAACAGGCTCAGTTTTCCTCTTAACTGAAATTGTATACTAAGTGACATATAAATCCGAACACCCAGTTTAAATGGTTTTATTTTAATAAAATTTTGTATAAGTACTTAATGAAGCATAATAAGTAAATGATAAAAATTACAAAATGATTGCACTGCTTTAAAGCCCTTTGACCTTTAATAATGTGTGGATGCACCCTGGTGTGCTACGCATTCTCCAACACGCCTAGGTATGCTTCTGATCAGGTGGTCAATATCCTCCTGTGGTATCTCATTCCAGGCAACCACCAACTCCTCTCGAAGTGCTTCTAGAGTCTGAGGAGGACGTTGCAAATTGAGCAATCTCCTACCCATCATATCCCACACGTGCTCAATTGGGGATAAGTCGGGAGATCTTGGTGGCCATGGTAACAATGTGACATCATTATGTTGAAAGCAGTCTATTGTGACTCTTGCAACATGTGGTCGGGCATTATCTTGTTGGAAAGTTGGATCTGCCAGGGTGTCAAGATATGGTAAAAGATGGTGTTCTAGAACTTCGTGGATATAACGCTGCGCGTTCATGTTACCTCTGATGAAGATTAAAGGTGACCTGGAACCATAAGCTATAGCACCCCAAACCATAACTCCAACAGTGTGATGAACATGTCTTTCAACAAAAAACTGTGGATTCCTCCTTTCACCACGTCGCCTTCTAACCCTGGCACGACCATCGTGCATGCCTAAACAAAATCGAGACTCGTCACTGAAGACAATACTGTTCCATTCCTGATCCCAGAGTGACCGTTGTCTGTACCACACAAGGCGATTACGTCGGTGTTCTCGAGTTAAAGGGAGGACCCAGTGTGGCCGGTATGAAAACAAGCCAAAACTTCTCATTCGTCGGTAAACACTTCGCATGCCAATAGGTCTTCCGTGTTCTGCAAACCATTCATTTGCAATGGACCTGGTAGTGGAGAAACGGTCCCTTAAGGCCAATAATCTTAGGCGGCGATCTTCACGGTCTGTTGTTCTACGGCGGCGTCCAGTGCCCCTTGATCTTTGCGTACGGCCTTCTCGAAGCCATGCCTGACAACACCTAACCACAGTGTCTACACTTCTTTTCACTCTAACTGCAATTGCCCGAAAAGAAAGTCCAGCTTCCCGAAGTCCTACTATACAGCCCCTATCAAACTCACTAAGTTGACGAAATCGTACAGGTCTTCGTACTCTAGGCATCGTAACCGATCGTAAAGGATGTCAAGAACCAAAATCCGCCAACGTTGATTCTTTACTGCGGCTGAAATATTCATTTTTAGAGCGTTAGTGAATTAAAAAAAGCAGTATAAAAACCGGAATGTCCAACTGATAAGGCTGAAAATTTTTTCACTTGTTATTTACAGTAAGATAAATACATTCACCAACTTTTATTGAAATAAAACCATTTAAACTGGGTGTTTGGATTTATATGTCACTTAGTATATGTGGGATGATGTTATGTTAGATTTAAGAAGATTGGCCTGGTTCCAGCTTGATGGTTGTCAAGCTCATTATTCGAGAATAGTTAGAAACTGGCTCGACGAAAATTATCCAGAAAGATGGATCGGCCGTGGAGGACCAGTCGCCTGGCCTCCACGATCCCCTGACCTAAATCCATTAGATTTCTTTGTGTGGGGATTCCTAAAAGGAAAAGTGTACCAGACTCCCGTAACCACAAGAGATATGCTAATAGACAGAATCAGGAATGCATGTGATGAAATAGGCCTTATTTAAATAATGCTATACCACGTTCGATCATTCGTAGATGTGAATTGTGTATTGAACAATTGGGTTTACATTTCGAGCAACTACTTTAGATTTTGTATGTTTGTCCTAACTATCCAATAGCATTTTAGTTGTATATAATAAATTAATTTAATTTGTTAAAAATAGTATTGGAAAACTAAACAAATTAATATTCTGTTTTTTTGTTTATTTGGAGTTAGGAATTATTGCTGTGTTTAAAAACACAATCTAAACGATCATCTTAATTAGTTGTAATTCCCAAATCGAAAATGTAAAAAAATTATTATTTTCCCATAAATAATTAAAAATGCATCGAACCTTAAAAATCGAAATATCTCAAAAACGGCTAACTATAACGAAAACTCACAGGAGAGCTTTTTTATGTTGAAAAGTGCGAAGAATCAGTTATTTATTCAAAAAGCAAAAAATTGCACTAAGAAAACATTTTCGGTCATTTTAATACACTACAGGTACAGTAGAGAGCGCCCTCTAGCGGCTACAGTAAAACTATGCCAATAGTTCGTTTTGTCTTACCAAAAAACCCTTGTATAGCAGTTTTCACTTTTATACATCAAATATTGTTCGAAATATTTAAAAAAAACTATTTTAGAGAGTAAATTTAAACACCCTGTATTTCGGAAGCCACGCGTTTTTCGACCCATGTTTATATAAACTTTATGCATTCATTTTAAAAGTTCTATCGAATCTTAAAGTTATGCAACAATAAACTGAAACACCCTGTATAAAAAGTTTCCTCTTGCCGATATCAGATCGGCCCGCTGTCGATGGACGAAAACTGTTCGAAATGTGTATGCCCAGCGCAGAAAATAAAAACAAATACTTTTTGCCGTACGTTGGGAAGATAGCTCACCTCCGCGACGCCTACGGCAACAGCGACTCCTCCGATAATTTTGAAGTTCTTCTCTAAGAACTCCTTGATCTGCGGTTGGCAGCCATCTTTGTATGCATTTGAGAACATGCAGTGACCTGCGAATTTCGGTTCACAACAGCTGTCCATCAAGGTCCCTTTACGAAGAAACGCTTTCATGTCCCTACTCCCTACTATTCCGCAACATTCAAACTGAAAATACAAGAAAATTCATAAAACAAACATTTATCTCTAATATGGTACGCCATGCTGTGGTGAGGGCCGAAAAGTGAAGACAGTTGCTTGTGTATTTGAGTACGATGAGATCCGCATATACGGGGTGAGCCATAAGAGTGTTGGCATCTTAAATCTTAAATTTCTCGGAAACAGGGGGCGCGAGTTGGGGGGATAAGCTGTCAGCTGAGACATACGACTGTTTTCTCTGAGTTCGCTCATTTCGTTCATCTCTCTTCAGTGAGTCGTCCGTTCGGAGTCGTTCATTTGAACGATAGAATTACCGACCGGCCTCGAAGCTGACGAGAGTATTGTGTTGTCTATAGTACAGACTCACTGAGTCAAAATATACATCATACTGTGAAAATGAAATGAAGGGTTAGGTTTGCCGATGTTATTGCATTCATTTAAGTATTAATATTTTTGGTTGAAATTGAATGTAACGAACGTATACATTCTTCCGAAAAAGGAAGGGATATGTGGTTCGGTTTTATTTATTTATTTATTTATTTATTTCCAACAGGTGAAACTCAATTACAGGAAATGCTGAAAACAATAACAATTAAAGAGACATGGTTCACACATTCTAAATAAGATTGGATGATCTATAGCAGTTAATAATCGATGCACAACTGTCACTGTAAATATCATACGATTCAGTAACCCTGTTCATGACGCAGCACATGAGATTAATTGGCGATTTTGTCATAACATTTGTACGGCCAGCTTGACAATAGAATGCCGTTTGTTGTCGACTCCCTAGCCTTGGAACGCGGAAACATATTTTTTCAAGTAAATTTTGACAGTCAATTTTATTGTGAATGAGGCCATACAAAAATGACAAAGCAAATATGTTTCGTCTTGTTGACAGAGAATCCAAAATTGAAAAACTCTAATAGGGCACTATGGTCACAACCTCTTTCTGGATAAGAACCTGTGCATTTAAGGTGAAAATACTTTAAAGCTTTACGTTGAATGGCCTCAAGGATCACGACAGAATTTTGGTATATAGGAGACCAGATCAGAGTCGCATACTCCAACTTGCTCCTGACAAAAGTAAAAAATAAAGTCATTAATGTATCGATATTGGAGAAACCCTTCCAGTTTCTGATACAGAAACCAAGTAGTCGAGTGGCAGCTGACGAGATATTGAGTATATGCTCAGTAAACGTTAGCTTGGTATCAAAAATGACTCCAAGGTCTCTATAAGAGGTGCATCTGTCTATAACCTGACCATTGATGTTATAATTATCATAAATTAAATAGTTAACCTTTCTTGTATAAGTCATAACTTTACATTTCGAAACATTCAGACTGAGACAGTTTCGTGAACACCATGACGAAATTAGAGCTAAGCCATATTGCAACATGACGCAATCCTCGACTGTCTTGACTGACGTGCAGATTTAAAGGACATCAGCGAAAAACAAATGGAAACACTTCAGTTCAAAAGACAAGTCATTAGTAAATATCAAAAACAATAATGGACCTAGATTTGACCCTTGAGGTACCCCGGACGTGGCCCGATAGTAACTCGACCTATGACCACCATATTCGACAAATAACCTTCTATCCCTCAAATATGAATGCATGAGCGACAGCATTGCATCAGACATACCCACTGATTTAAGCTTATCCAGAAGTGCATAATGATCAACTTAATCAAACGCCTTCTGAATATCTGTGTAGATGACATCAACTTGTCCCTGACCGTCCAGTACTTCAGAAATGTACTGAGTAATTAGAGCCAAGTCGGTCACCGTAGATCTGCCTCTCATAAACTCATGCTGATTAATAGAGACTGCACCCCTGACCGAGCAGTAAACCGTTTTATAAGCGATGATCTCAAACAACTTGCTGAAATTGCACAGGATTGCTATTTGGCGATAGTTGGAAATATCAGAGATATCTCCACTTTTGTGAATAGGACATATTTTAGAGGTCTTCCAGATATTTGGATGTCTCTGATTTTAGAATTAGGTTGAATATGGAAGCCAGCGGTTTCGCTAGTATATGAATGCAATCTTTAACGAAAAAAATTGGAATACCATCACATCCAGACGTCATTTTGTTCTTTAATCTTTTCGAAGCCTTAATTACGTTTTCTTCCGTTATATTTTTTAAAGAAATGATATCGGTAGAATTATTTGTTGGAGGAGATGACCCTAGTAGACCAGACGGGATAAAAACTGTTGAAAAGAAGGTAGCAAAACTGTCCACTATATCCTGAGGCGTATCGCAGACATTGCCGTTAAGCGTCATCCTTGGGGGGATTCTAGATTGCTGTTTTTTGATCTGGGCAAATGACCAGAACTTGCTAGGATCATTGACAATGGCATCCTCAACCGATTGGACGTAAGCGGAGTGGGCAACACTGATCTGGTTCTTAATCAGCTTCCTAAAATTAGGAGGAATCACCGAATTCTGAATCAAAATGCAATTGCTTGTTCTCAAATCCCATCATTTCAACGACAGCCGGCAATGTAGAGCGTGTTCGTGTTTCAGTTCAGCGAAATCCGCAACAGTCAACACGTAAGAGAAGTCAGGCTTTAGACATCAAAAGTACGAGCTTGCGGCGAATTTGGAAGCGTGATTTGTATTTGAAGGCTTATAATATTCAACTAGTCCAAGAATTAAAACCCGATGATGCCAATAACAGACTTAACCTTGTCAGTTAGTAATGAGGCCAATTTTCACCTCAATGGCCATGTTAACAAACAGAATTGTCGGTTCTGGTCCGAAACTAATCGTCGACGCTTGCATGAACGTCCACTTCACAGCCCTAAACTAGTCGTGTGGGCTGGAATTACGTCAACTGGTAGTATTGGACCGTACTTTTTTGGGGACGAAAGGAGCAAGCGATGACAGTTAAAGCTAACGTTTATTGCAATATCATAACAGACTTTTTGATGTCAGTTTTATAAGAACTCCGAGGCAATACCTCTAGAATGTGGTTTCAACAAAATAGGGCTAAATGTCATACAACTAGGGTATCTATAGAGCTGCTGACAAATGTCTTTCCCGGAAAACTCATTTCGAAAAGGGGGGACTCGTAGTCTCGATCTTCCTCCATGCGATTATCTCCTATGGGGCTATCTCAAATCGGTGGTCTACGACAGGGCTGTCCAACTTAATGTGGCCCAAGGGCCACTTCAAAAAAAAAAATGCAGTTTGTAGGGCCGCATTATAAAATCTTTATATATAGTCAACGCCAAACAAAGTGGCGTGCACGTCATCAAGGTGGATGTGTTGAAAAATTTACATTGTTGCCAAACTTTTTGTAAAATAATAAAATTTATTATTTACATATCTAGGTTTATAAGCAATATTAACCTCAAATGAGAACAAAAATAATAGTATAATAAAATTAAAGATCTGTACTTGCATAATCATTAAGTATGACAATTATTGATCAGATGACACTATGAAACTACCATATTTAATTGATAGCTTAAAGGTACTGAATAAAAATCCAAATGGGGTCCTCCAAATTTTATGCATGGTATTTATTTTACAGAATTCATACAGAAAAATGCATTCTAAAATTAGGTAAGCTACTGGTGTAAGCTTTTTCTGTACAATAAAGTTAGTCGGAGTTTCTTTCTTCAGCGCTGTCTGAATCTGAATCTTCATCACTCTCAAAGTTGATTATTAAAGGTACGATGTCTGGTCGATCAAAAATTCGTTCTCTTTCATACCATTTAAAAATTTCTTGCTCAGTATGTCGAACACTATTTTTCCACATGTCTGGGGTAACCGTTTGTAGAGCCTCGTTCCACATATCCAAACAGTCTTTTTCACTGTTACCATCTCTACCAATATGTCTGTTATGGTAACCTTTTGCTATGCCCCAAATTAACTCAATAGGGTTAAATATACAATGGTAAGGAGGCAGACGAAGAACTTTGTGCCCATGTTGTTCCGCCAATTCATCAATCGCGTATATTTTAGGTGGTTTGTTTCTAAAAAAGCAGTTATTTTAAGAATAGGAATAAACAAAAGAAATATAAACTGTCGACCAAAATATATATAATTAAGAAGCATTATGTACCGAGCAACAATACTCAATAGCTCTGTTTTAAACATTGTGTTTAAAAATGGTATGTTTTGATTTGTCAACCAGTCTTGGATATTTTTTTTTGTCCATGCATTGTTGGGCACTTTGTTCAATATCATGCTGTGATAAGGGGCGTTATCCAGTATAATCATAGATGGACTCTCCAATTTTTCTAATAACTGATGTTGAAACCATTTCAAAAAATTGTCCTGGTTCATCTCTCCATGGTAATCGCTCAATTTTGTTTTCGAAGAAAATATCGCTTCACTACCCTCAATAAACCCATTTTCATTTCCAGCATGTAATATAATGTATCTAAAATATATTAGTTTTAAATTTTATAGTGCAAATTGTGTAAAAGTACATACCTTTTACCATCTGTTTTAATAGCTTTCACGCTTTTTGGTTTCCATTTTGCCAAGAGCGACCTATGGTCCCATTTTGAAATATCCAAGTTTCATCGAGGAAGACAAACTGGTATAAGGCCTCAACCTTGGCTTGATTGTATTGCCTTAGAAATTCCACCCTTTTCAAAGCTATACTTGGTAGTTCCATGAGCCCTCGTCGCGGATTGTCCTTAAGCCACTTAAATCCAAGATCTCTAAGCAACCGCCTTAAAGACGTGGCACTACCATCAAATAATGCCCTGTCTCTTAATCGAGACCATAAAGTTTGTATCGTAACTTGTTCTTCTGAAACCATGTGTAATATGACATTATAATTTAGTTAACAAATTAATGCAAATTTCTGATAAGTTATTATAATAAGATCTTACTTTTGTGATACATATTATAGATCACTTCTCGAATGGCACTTGTATCCAATGTCGCTGTGTTGGTTACACGTTTAATATAACTCCGCTTTTTCTTGGGCGATTCTAAATTTGCATCACTTTTCACACCCTCGGAAATACGACTAACTG